CCACTGGATTCCCAGAGGAGTTTTTTTCCCCGCTGGAGTTCCAGAGGACAACAGCTACATACCTGCCACTGGACCTTCCAAGGAAGACCAGACCCTTTTACAAGATCGCTGCTTCAACAGAACTACATCCATCGCTTCAGGAGGACTGCAGCCATCATCTTATCGGACTGCTACTGCCACCCTAACAGGGTGTCAGGTTGTATTTCTGACTGTCAGTGTAAACCAGTGTGGGTTTTTTCTACCTTGTTATATATATATATGTAAGTAAAGAACTGTTATTCCTATTCCCCATATCTTTGCCTGAAGGCCCCTTAATTTCAAAATTATAATTTAGAGGGAAGGGGGTTGCATTTTCCATTCCAAGGGAGGCTCCTGCCTTCCTCAGCAGACACCTGTCTTTCAAACCAAGACACTGCTTCTAGCACCCCAAGGGAGACCTGGGAGCTAAATAGTAAAGTTTCTGCACTACCTTTCTCTTCTAGAAAGAGAAATTCCAACTACTATGTGAAGCTTTGGAGAATAAAGGCATCCAGTGGAGTAGCCGGGGACCTGCCAATAAAAGGTAGTAATGACGGCATCAAAGCAGGAACTGCCATGAGGCTGCTCTGGTTGATGCTGCCCCCGTGGACGTGGGCCTTGTTGGTTCTGCACTGCTGATACCTCTGCTGTCTTTCAGACTCTATGAGGCAGCAGAGGAAGACAGCCTGCCTGACATCCTGAAGGAATTCCTGAAGTTCTTACGCTCTGAGGCCTTCTTTTTACTGCTTTCCAACTTCACTAGCCTGAAGCTGCACTTCCTGGCTCCCTCTGATGAGGATGAAGATGCTGGTGAAGGAAGAGCAGCAGACATGGCTGGGCACAGCAGTCCCAAACCTGAGCAATGCACTGATAACAGTCCCCACCAGCCTGACAAGATCTCTGAAGCACAGGACAGTGCGATGCAGAATGGTAAGTCAAGCAGCAGCAGCGTGAAAGGACTTGAGCAGAATCCTGACATTAAGGATGTCAGCAGCAGAATTCTCTGTGACTTTCACAGAACTAGCATTTCACTTTGTACTGCAGCCAGCACAGGGCACCAGCCCAAACCTGGGGCTCGAAGCTGTCAGACTGGGGATCCAAAATAAGTGACCATTGCAAAAGAATTCGGAATAAAATAATGACATACTCGAAGGTGCCATTTTGAACAGACTTAAGGGTGGGACTTCTGTAGGAGTTAAGGCATGGATGAGGAGGGGGCATGTTAATTAATTGTCCAATAATCTTTTGCCAATAGTTACACTCCTGCTTCATATAAAATAGATTCTTGTATGAGACCAAATCAAAAGGAAGAAAGTGAATGGATCAGAAGTAAATAGACTTAAATTACAATACCAATACCTAAAACTAGGATTTAACCTTTCAGAAGATGCTGCCAGCCTAAATAATGACTTAGTTGTCAGCAATGAGAGATCATTGCTATAAACGATTAGATTAAGTTTGGGTTCATGGGTTGGGGCTGTTTTATTTAAAACAGTGGTTTCATAGTTTAAGGGTAGAAGTTCTAAAAATGCTTATCTTGCACCGAGTCAGGCAAGTTAGTGGAATAGAAGGTAAAAAAAAAATCCCTAAGTCCTACCAGAACACTTACCTGGTACAAAGGCTGTGTTTTTCTGATATCCGTGGCTAGTCATTTTGCCTCTTCTATCTGCCATGTTCCCACTGTGTGATTTCAGAGGAGGGCATTGTTTGGGGCTGCATGGCTTGAAAACTGAGCTTGAGCCATGAGGAGAAAAAAAAAAGGCTTCCCCAAATTCTGATGTACCTCCTGGGATGCCATGTGAAGGATGAGTTCAGAGCAATGTTCTCCTTCAGTGAAGCACCTGGTAGTTACAGTACTTCAAGAACAGAACAGCTAGGTTGGTGGCTGTTGAAGTTTGGAGTGCTACTGTATATCTTAGGAAAAAAAAAAAAAAAAAAACACCACACCCAGAACAAAAGGAGGAACTTGTTAAAGCAAAGCACATCACAGCTTGGCCCCTTTCAAAGAGCAAATCTTGGCCTCCCTCCTCCCTGTTGGTCAATGGACATAACTTGTAGCCACCTCTAGAAAAGAAGGTAACGAGACACGTGGGTTTACTTTGTTTTCCCTTTACACTTTGCTGGGGATGGCAAAGACAGCTCCACAGCAGTGTGGCAGTGCAAGGGCTTGTCCCCTACATGCCTTAAACTCAGCAGGCGTCGGCTATGGCACAGCTTCATTGTTTTCCCTGGCTTCTTTGTTCCCCCTTCTAGGCTCAGGTACCCCCGTGTGTTCAGGGGAGCTGAGGCACTGGACCCACAGGCACTACACTCTAGTCCATGACACTCAAGCAACAGAATTTGCTCTTGACCTGCTCTTCTTCTGTGGCTGTGAGGGTAAGTGGACAGAAGAGAGATGTCAGACTCTCCTTACCAGGTTTGCAAGGACTTCTGAATTAGCAGTGCTACAATAACCGAAATTTCGCTGCTTTTTCCTACATAGAGGGGCTCTGTAGACTTTATTCTTGTCCTCTCTTCTGCGTAAGCCCTGTAGAGATTGGAGATTGTGGCCTTGGGATAAGCTTTGACCTTTCCTGCTGGAGCCAGGAGGTGGCGCTTGGGCAGCAGGAAAGGCTGCCTCTCCCAGACCTTTACTCTTGCTAAGTGGTGGCTCTGGAAATGGTGGAGGGTCAGGTGGCCGGAATACCCACTAAAAGGGTTCCATTTGCCCCTTCCCTTATCAAAATTATCACTACGCCTCCACTTCAAAGCCCAGGGTATTCAAAAGTTAAACTTTAGGCATGTCGAGGCATTTTAGGTCGGTTGCTATTTAGATAGTAGTAAAAACAAAAATCTAAACATAAGCATTTTGGACCTGCCAAGCACCGAACACACGGCTGAAACCACCTGGCACATGCTGGTGATTGTACCGAAAGCCTTTTGCATATCTATTGAGGCCCAGCTGCTCTGTGAGGAGCAGAGAGCTGAGCTACCTTAAATGGTCCGTCTGATACGTTTGCTGCAAGATGTTTCTGATTTGGGGGAAAAAAAAAAAAAACCAAAAAAAACCCAAAACAACAACAAAAAAAAAAAAAACAAAACAAAACAAAAAAAACCCAACCAAACAAACAAAAAACCCCAAAACAACAACAACAAAAAAAAAACAAACCAAAAAACACCCACGCCTGGCAGGAGGTAAACGGGGGATTGTCCCACGCCCAGTAACTGTGGGGAGTAGGGGAGAGCAACAGCATCTCCAGGAAGGCTGTGTGGAGCCTGAACAGCATTAAACTTTCTAAGAATCCTTCTTTTCTGTTTTAAGACTGGGATCCAGAATACGGTGGCTTTACTTCCTACATCGCTAAAGGTGAAGATGAAGAGGTAAGGACTGCGAATCAATTAAAGTTGTTGAGGGGGGAGAGACATAATCACACTTTATCACAATGCTGACATCATCCTGAGGGTGCTCGGTGTCACACCGGAGCCTTCCTGCCTGAATTACTGCTCAGGGGTGTAGCTCTGGCTTCACCTTCAAGAGGCTGCTGTTCACCCTAAAGCTTAAGGCTCCGGCTCTGCCAGTGCCTCATACCACCTGCACCCGGTGGCGTTTGGGAAGCCTCAGAGGGGACAAGGCTGTGGCAGAGGTGATGCTTTTCCAGGCAATGCTGTTCACTAGGGTCACATGCAGTAGCAGTACTAGTGACAATACTGAGCAGTCATACTAAGCCCAGAATCCCTTCCTGTCTAATAAATGTTTCCTGTTGAGGGGTATTAAGATGGAAACAGTGAAACCGTTCACTTTCTAACACCAGACCTGTATTCTCACAAGCTTTTGAAACAGTTTTGTTTCTTCCTCTGAGTGATATCAAAGCCATTTCTGTGAAACTAATTTCCTCCCTTACCTTCATTCCTTCTAGCTGCTGACAGTGAATCCAGAGGACAACTGCTTGGCCTTAGTTTATAGAGACAAAGAAACTATGAAGTTTGTGAAATACATCAATCACCAGAGCTTGGCACGCCTGAAAAAGCATCCAAACAAAACAGGATTTTGGGATTTTTCCTTCGTCTATTACGAGTGATGGTGCAGGGTGTAACTACCATCATAGAGAAGATGATAGGGTTGGGGGACAGGTTTCTCTCCAGGTGTTCAGCTGGGACCTGTCTAAGCCCAGACAAACTTTGCTACTGCTACCTTCATCACACTGTGGACAAGCTCTACCTGCTACATGGGCTCCAGGTGATGTTTTTAACTGTACAAATGGAAACCCAGTCTTCTCCCAAGTCCATTGTAATGCAGGGGGAGGGGTTGTCATCACACAACTGACAGCTGCTCTCTCACAGAGGTAGCATGGGGGGATGCATCTCTAATCCGTCAGAGTAAAAATTAAACTGTGCATTGCTGCAGGCTGATGACTGAGTTTTATTAAAAAGGAAGTGGATCGGTTAAATGCCTCAGCCTCTGGCTAGGCAAGTTTTGTTACAAAATGCCCAAGACAGACATTTTCTGGGGCTTAAGTGTGTCTACTGTTTAGAAATAAAGGAGCTGCCAGGGGAAATAGGAGGTTTTTCCAGCTGCACAACTCTGGAGTTGGGAAGGAAGACAGTGGGGCTGTGAAGCTGCTGGCACTGAGAAGGCCCTGGACCTGTAACAAGGAGCAGGACTTCATTATGCTAAATGCCCTGGAAACAGACCCAGATGCTGCCCTTTGTCCAAAGAATTTACAAGCTAAACAGATGAGAGGAGACCTGCTCCTGTGTACTCTGCTTGCAGGGGTAGTGGATGGCTTCAGGTGCGGCTGCAGCCCAGAACAGGGGTGGTGGGCTGGCAGCAGGAAGGTGGAAACTTGCCTCTCCCTGGTGTGTTTGCCACAGGTGGCAGGAGGGTCACCAACAGTGTGGCCTCATGTCATGTTTATTTTGTCCTGCTGGGCTCCAAGGTGGCTTCTGTCACTGGACATCAGCTCTTTCCAGGCAGCAGCCAGCCAAGTCCTTTGGTAAAGAGTCCAAGAAAGGCAGGGGTGTCAGTGTGGTACCTCCCCCCTGCACACGCTTTCCAGACTGCTCACCTCCCCCAGGTTCACTGCAAGCATGACTGTGCCAGACTGTCACCTCTGAGGCAGCCGGCCCAGTGAGAGGTGCTGTTTCAGAGCTGTGCTGGTTGCTTTAAGAGGCAGCCAGACTGCAGAACACCCTGCTGGAGGCTCGGCCCTGGCCTGAAGGCTTTCCTGTGCTTGCCTGAAACTTTTTTTTGGCAATGAAGAGCCACAGCTGTACTTCCAGCTCATCCAGGCCAGACAGTGCTGGCCACAGGCTTGCAGTGAGCTAGGGAGAGTGTGCACGTTTCATTCCTCCTGCCTCTCCTGGGCTGGGAGAGGGTAGCTTTGGGTTAGAGGCTGCTGGTCCGCTGGTGTTGAAGACCAGTGCTGGCAGCAGAGGCGCAGTGGGCTCAAAGCAGGGCTAGCTGTGTCGGCACAGTACCCTGCACCCTTCGCAGGGCAGGGTGTCCTTTGGGCTTGCCTTCATGAAGATACAGGAGCAATGATCAGCTGTGATCCCAAAGCACAAGGTCTGAAAAGGGAAGCACTGAAGCGTGAGGCTGCTGCCATTGCTTCCGAAGTGGGAGTCTCAGCCCGCGCTGGCACCACAGCAAGGGGACGGCACAGCCGTGGAGAGCACGATGTGCAGGACTAGGTTCAGCGTCAGTTCAGTCCTGGACTACAAGAGAGGGGCTGCTCGGTTCTAGCTGTTCCCTCCTGCACTGCTGGGCAGGGACAGCAGGTGGTTGTGCCGAGTTGCTATGCGAGATCCACACCATCTTGTTCGCACTCTGACTCGTCTCCCTAAGCTGGCTTCTCTGTGCACTACTGAGACTTTCTTGCCTGGTTTTAATCTTCGTTTGCTGCTGGTTTATGTTACTTACAAAGACAAGGGGATGGAGCTAGAAACAAATCCTGAAGTGAGGCCAGGAATCTCTGCAAATTGCTGGTTTCTGAGGCACTCTGCCTCCTATCAGGGCAGCAGCGAATCTTGGGGAGAAAGTAGTTCTTATTCTGAGCTGCTCCAGTAGAGAGACAAGTAATGGGGGTTGCAAAAGGGGGGGGGGGGGGCAAAATTATTTGGGTAGTTTCAAACAAAGGTGACACATTCACAGCATAGTCAGCTAGGCAAAGTCAGGAGTAAATTAACTAATGAAACAAAGTTACTTATTTTACTGCATGGTGAGCCTAAGAATGTCCTTGGTAGATCTTGGAACAGCCTCCCAGAAGACTGGGAAGAAGCTGGGCTCTCTGAAGCTTGCTGCTTTTTAATAATAAATAATAACACTAGAGGGCATACCAGCCTCTACTTGAGCGAGCCCCTATCTACTGATCACACACAGAACCACCCTTCTGCTTCCAGTGACTGAGATGAAGTAATTTAAGGAGCCAGCCAAATTTGCAGTTAGCATTCACAGATTTGAAAATCAACATGTCTCTGCTCTCCAACATTTCCTACCTGGTCCCAAAGGCCCAAGACTGCCCCACGCATGCGCTGCGGGTACAGGGGAAAGACTCCGCTCACTGAAATTTCAAATAACATGAGCTACTGGGGGAAGAGGGCTCTTCATTTAGACTGTGCCAACAATGACAGCTCTCTCTACAGATGCTCTTGCTGGATACAAATCTATATTTACAATTAGGCGTAGCTGCTTGCAAAGTACTCTGATCATTATGGAAAAGAATATGAATATGAAATATATACATACCCACAAAATGAGTAAGCAGGAAAATATAGAAAACTAGGATTGAGAACAGTAGGCAAACAGAGTGCGAGCAACAGCGAACAGAAACTTCACACCAGGCGAGATGGCCTCGTGCAGACGTCGATCAGCTTGGCTGTACGAGGATGCACATTTCCCACCAGCTGACTGCACCTCCAAAGCCTGGCATTCAATACAGGGCACCAGCAGCTTTCAGTTACTGAGCTGCTGAGTTGTTCAAGTTCTTCACAACAAATATTTTGGCATTTGGCTGTTATCGGTTTGCCAAGTAGCTGAAAACAGGAACAATTCAATATGGAGTGAGATAAAACAGTTTAGGTTAGACCCCAGACTAAAGAAACGGTTTTGGCATTCCCTAACACACAGTGAGGAAGTTCCGACTGGATATTCAGCAAATTAGTATGAATTAAGATAAGCAGCAATCCCTGGGACTTGGAAAAAGAGGGGCTAAAATCAGATAACCTGTCGTCAAGTGTCAGTTCCAATTGTTTTGGTGTTTCTAAACTCCAAACCAGAGTTAGGACATTGAAAACCACTGCTATATAGATCCTTCTTCAGCAGGCACTGAACCCCTGCAGCATGTTTCCCTGGCAGCGAAGGGGCTGTATGAGGAAGGCTCCAGCCCAAGCAGAAGTTTGAGGCAGGCACTGAAGCGTCCCAGCGGGGCAGGACAGTGCTGTAGACCAAATCCCCAGCGCGCATACCAAGGCATGAAGCCATCTAAGCAGCCTTGCCCATGAATTATTAGCAACACGTAGCTCTACTAGTGTGGTTTCAGAGGTTATTCTGTACTCAACCAGTAGCTTAACCTGCTGTGACCAGTTCTCCTCCCATAACTGAGAAGGGGATCACTAGGCATTAGTCCTGGGCTGAATAGTACCAGCGGGGACCGTTTGCCACTGATCTCCTGGTGGGGGTTCAGCTTATGCCAGCTGGCTGCTGGTACCAGCCAAGGGCAGCTTTATTTCAATTATTTATTTCAACTGCAAACCTGGTATCACTTCAGCTTACAGGATGTGGATTTTACATTTGGCAAAGATAAAAGTTGTTTTTACAGGAAAATAAATGACAAGTTTGTTGTCAGAAACTCAGCCAGGGGAAATCAGCCTTATCAGAAGTCTGGACTGTGACCGAAGGACTGACCTCACTGTCAAGAGCAAAACAGAGCTGGGACTGGAAGTGCCTGGTGTGTAGCCCTGAAAAATCAGGCTGATGGGAATGCTGCTTTCTGATCAAAGCCACTCTCTTATCATTGAACAGACTACATAAACATAAGTAAGCAAGCGTCAGGATTCTGAACATAAAGAGGTTGAAACAGTGGGAACAGGTACAGCAGGTGGCAGAAAGCCCAGCACTTATGCCAGGAGACTGTTCCATAACCAAGTCTCGAAGCTCGCCTGCTTAGAACAGCATGGGTGGCTCACCACCCCTTCACCAAGGAGCTGGATTTGACTAACAACCGGGTTCTTAAAAGCATTCAAATGATCTCCTGCTGCAGACCTGAAGCGACAGGGATCTCTGCTTTCAGCAAGGGGCTGAAGCAGCGGCAAGGGGCCATTTGGGGGACTACAACACATTGCAAGAGCTACATTCCCCATTCAACTCGTCGTATGCTCGCTGGTTGCTCTGTAACAATGGTGGGCTGCTGGCTTTAATTCAGTAGTGGCAAGTGAGAGACAGACTAGTGACAGGATGCGAATACTCCCGACAGCCCTGAGAAGGTGCCCAAGAGCTTCAGAGACAGACTGCCTCCTCCCTGCCTGCGTTGCGAACACCAACCCATGCAGCTGGAGGTGCGACCAGCGGCGCAGGAGCTAAGAGCACTAGGCCCAACCTCTGTCCGTGTGCAAGATATTTTTAGCTTTCTAGAAGAAATTTGCTTTGGCAAAGGTTCTAAAATATCTTTAGATCTCAGATACAGCCTTACTGTAATATTTTAATCCGATTCTAAGAGATCCCACAATTAATAAACAGGTTTGAGCCAGGAGCCAAGACATTTTTCAATACCTTCTTCTTTTGATCCCATTAAGTACCGCCAGCTCTTCATAAGTACGCGCCCAGCTTAGGTGTGCAGTTTGTTTTTGTTGTTCTTGAAATGCACCCTTGCCCATCTCAGTATCTGCAGTTTTTTCCAGCAGCAGCTGGAAGCAAAACTTCCTGCAATCCAGGTGTGGGGAGAGTGTTGGATATGAAACAGACCACTTCCTACCTGCGTGGATCCTGGAACTGGGCGGCTTTCAAAGATCTTCTGGCTTAAAAGCCAGCAAGGAGAGGTTATCCCTTTGGTGCTTCAATCGCACTGAATTGCGGTTGACCTAG